TTGATTGCAGTAAGACAAATGTTGAAAGGAATTTTAAAAAAAATGTAGTAACTAGCAAAATTTCTATTAAACACTTGAATTTATAAACTATGCAACTTAATAAAATGCTTTTATTTTTAAAATTGTGAAACGGTGACGTGTTTGGGTAAATGCTTTTATTTTTAAAATTGTGAAACCTTGGTGACGTGTTTGGGTATTTTTAGGCTATTTACAGGTGTATTATTTTGGGGAAATTTCATTGTCTGCACCACACAGCTCAGATTAGTGATCACCATGGCCTGGGAATCTATTACACTCCTCTGTAAATCATTGTGCCCCAATCTTTTACCTCCATCATACTAAAAATGGAGTACAACATATATTTGACTATACAATAATTTATGTATACTTTTGTCTAATATAAACCATTGCCTAAAGAAAATGAGAGCATACATGTAGCCCACCTTAATATATCAAATATATATACCAACTCATACCAGCATTTTTTTGTACTCTTCCAGTGAGCAACACTCAATATTAGTTTGCCATCTTCTTACTACATCCAGAACACATACACTCTTCATCTAGCATTTTAGTTAAATGGGCAGAATTCATTTGGTCCCAGTCTACATTCTGCTGTATCACACTGTAAACTCTTCGTATTAAGGGTCTTGCGTTCTGCCTAACAGTGGCAGACATTCAAGTTTTTCCAGTTAGGGGACAGAATATGGGACACTAAAGTGTTTTAGGGAAAATAGTCCTAGGACAAATTTATACACCCATACTCCAATTTGAGAACAATATAACACACTTCTCTGAAATAGGTTCTCAGGCTGGACAATCCTACTTGTGTTGGTTAACAACAGAACTGAGCAAATAACTGATTGAACAAACAAACATATGGCTAATGTCAAAGTGAAACTGTTTCTTATCAAAACAAAACCCAAGACAATGTCAACTGAGCAGACCTGAACAAGTTTTCCTGAACTGCAATTTCACCTTCTGCTTCCAGTCTCTGAAAAAAATCTTCCAGTTGTGGGGGGTTTTGTCATGAGTAAATAAATCTGCGTATATGCCTGAAGCTAAAGCTGCGACAGATGTTATTTCAGGAGAATGCTTACAGATGAAAACCAACTCTGTTCTCCAAGAAACTTGAAGGGTGTATTTTTTCTTTCCGTCAAAATCCATTAGTTTTGTTACTAACATCCTCTTCGAAGAGTGTTATATATACACACATGGCTTGACAAACCGCGGCAAAAACCACTCGCCAGGCCTGCACTGAGCATGCGCAAACTGCCAGTGAATGGGGCGACCGGCTGAAATCTAGTGGTGAGTAGATAAGCGGATTTGTTGAGCCCTGTATATATAGCATGTTGTTTCTTGCTGTGCCCATAAACATTTAACATATGGACATGAATTAAACAAGTCCCCTTGGCTATGTCTAGACTGGCCCCTAATTCCGGAAGAGGCATGCAAAGCAGGTAAGTCAGAATAGGGAAATCCGCGGGGGATTTAAATACCCCCCGCGGGATTTAAATAAACATGTCTGCCGCTTTTTTTCCCGGCTTGGGGAAAAAGCCGAAAAAAGCATCTAGACTGGCGCGATCCTCCAGAATAAAGCCCTTTTCCGGAGGAAGA